TATCCAACGAACATTTTATTTATACCTCTCTCAATACACCTGTGAGGTCTGTAACCATACAGTCATTGATTCTTCGATGGATTAAGATGCATTTAGATGGATTTGGGTGTTTTTCATGAAAAGTCTCTGGAATCGTCATGAGTACGAAGATGGCAGCAAATTGAATGATAAGGGCATTGAGCGTCTCATATTAAGGACTGCTTGATGCAGGTGATCGAGTTGATTTTCAAACAGATCACCAAAAAAAATTTCAGAACGAAATTCTACGAGTTCGATATGAAGCCGACGTGTAAACGATGTTATGATCGATTCCCGAATGAGCTGAAGAAACGAATAAGTGACAGTTTAAAGGATCGCGATCTGGAGATCGAAAGGAATCGAGTGCTACAAAGGCGGTCGATGAGCCCAACCGCAGCCGCGGCCACTTCTACTCACAGTAGTGGAGGGACGCTGAAGAAATCATGATAATATACCGTCCATTTTTTCTTCCTATCACAAACAATTCGTTCTTAATTTCGAATATTGTTTGTCTTAATCGCGATTGCTTATAACTTCAACTCGTTTCAAACAAATCACTGAATGCTTTTAAAACCATCGTGGTGAGTGGTAGGACTGTCACGCATCCAGTTGATTCCAGTGAACTTCTTCCACATACTTCAAATGGCTTTCATGAAATTTAATGAGTTAAGAGCATAAATGAAATAAATTCCTCTGGTCGATGATGCTAATATTCAATTCCTTTGAACATAACCGAGTTTGAATCGAACAAGCCGCAAATGAAATGAACTGATTGATAGATCTGTTTCTTTGATAGGCAATTGCGTTTTGATTAATTGCGTTTATGTGAAGCTTTTTTCAAATCTTTATAAGATTTGTTGTTTGTCTTATTTTTATGAAAATTTGTCAGCATTTTGTTTGCTTATCTGTTTTTTGTTGACTACATCATCAGTGCCAAATGATTCTTGTACTCTACAAATTATTTCTACGCAACATTGTTTATTTTCCCAAATGCTCATTATAATCTTTCGTTTGTTTTCTCAGCGAGAATCTCGTCGTTTTTTTTGTTCAATTGTTCATTTTCGATATGATATTTATTCGTTATCTTTTCAATTTCATACTGATTATTTCTGCTTCTTCCGTCCACCATATCAATTAGAATTCAACATCGTATTATTCATTAATGAGTAATGTATTTGAATAATGAACTGATTATCGACTTTTGCAAAGAATTTGAGTTTATTTGCGATATGTTCTCGTATTTCACTCCGTTTCAGTATCAAAATATATCGCGTTGTATTTGAATTCCCATGATCACTCATTACTGAACTAACGATAAGCATAATATTACACATCACTGGCATTATAATGAAATATTTCAGTTGTTTTACCATAATTCTTTCAGTTTATAATTAATTGATTGCAATATGATAGTGTATGTATGAGTTTTAGTCACAGTATTGTTTGATATGACAATAAACGTTCGAATATCGTATCGCACATCGTCGCACACAACTCATGAGTGTTACTGTAAAACTTGCTGTATTCAGTATGACTGGAAAATACGCTTCATATCAAAATTCAAAAACACGGAAAGAAGCTCAGATTCCGTGAATAGTAAATCAGTAATCGTCATGTACAGTATGCTATTGTAGTTGTTATTTTTCGAAGATTACTCACTTTCAACGAACCGTATCTGTTCAGTGAGAACATAACCCATAACTACACAAGCGCGATGGCATCCAACCGATGTTCGGTCGAAAGAATCCGGCAAACGGATTCCGACCGAGTGATTTGGTGGTTCAGTCGGAATTCCGAACGTCTGAATCTCAAAATATGAATTCAGTCGGACTCCCAACGAAGAAAGCCGAAAGTAGGTCGAAATTCCGAATGTTGGAATGTTGAACTGTCAGGTCACTTGGATTCCGACTGACCTGATTTTTCTTCCGGATGCCACTACTAGGATGCAGCACAGCTGATGATGATGATGAATGAAAGTTGAACGCAATTGCCTGTCATTGCAAACGACGAATTTACACTACTGAAACGATTTCGGTTATTTTATTTCGTTGAATGGTACAAAATTCACACAACCATAACTTGAAATAGACGGTTTTTCTGATTTCCTCAATCCCGTCAGTCTCAAGTTAACGTTATCCGGTTGACCTGATAGACTTCATATAGGCTTCAAGCGAAAATCTGCATTACCTTCATGAGTCAATGAATTTTCTTCAGTTGTGCGATTTTGAGTGGATTGTAGAGACGTAGACATTTTGGCAAAATGAACAATTAAGTGCTGTTGGCTAAATGATTTAAAATTTAGCGGTGCGATGTTTTTCGGTTTTATTTATTACTCGGAAACCTTTCGGTATGCCTTTTTTTCGTGATTTTCGTGCTAACTGGTTTATAGAAGTGCGTTTATAAACAAGTTATAAATTCATTCATTTCATTTTTTCATGATAAATTGTTGTGCTATGATGGAAATGGTGTTTTGCGGTGATACACATTGTTTCGTGCTGATAAACATTAGAATGTGCGAAAAGTTGATTTTAATGGAACTATTGCGTGAATATAACTGTTGATATCTTGCTTGGTCAGCTGTTTTCAACGTTGTTTTCAGAGAATTTTTCAATGAGCAGCCCACGAGTTGGTACAACAAGAGGTCGGGGCCGAGGTCGGAAACGTTCACGCCGTTACACTCCACCAATTCCTAGCGATAATGACCATTCACAGAGTCGCGAACGGGATCAAACACCGGATGCATCACTCTCTCCCACGGTATAGCTTCATTTCTTTTGTGAATTTTATCGCCAAACTGAATTTTGGTTCATTCATTACGTTTTTCATTTAAATTTGTCAAATGAACTCCAAAACTGTTGTCAATTCTGCACCATCAGAACGCAGTTAACGCATTTTCGTGTAACGGAAATATACCGGTAAAAGTTTTCATTATGTGACAAATCGTTACGTGCTTGAGGTGATGAGCATCGAGTGTGTATCAATTTGTAGATGGAATTTTCAAAACAAGGTTTGTTAGTAGCAGAAAT